CTCTTCAGACAGGGATTGGACTGGACTGTGGGACATAAAGTAATACTCGTGAGGAGTGTGCCTCTTAGCTCAAGTAGATACAAGAGACTAAATGGACGGCTTCTGTCTGGAGGTGAGATGGGAAGGCAGGGAGGGTTAGGAGCTGGTTGAATGGACATGGGGAATCAGGGGTGGAAAGGAGGAGTGTGCTGTCACAGTATGGGGAGAGCAATTAGAGTCACATAACAATGTATGTATAAATTTTTGTATAGGAAAAATTAAAATAAATAAATGCATTGAGGGAAATTGCCCTGGAAAAGAATCATATCCCGTGGCATTTTGGAAAGGGATTAACGTCTTCCTAGTTTGTTTTTTCTGGGTTTTTATAAATTGAATATATTTATTTGCCAAAAAGGTATATTTTGCACCTACTAAGTGCAAATAGGAGTCCTTGGGTGGTACAAACAGTTAAGTGCTCAGCTACTAACCCAAAGGTGGCGGTTTGAACCCATCCAGAGGTACCCTGGAAGAAAGGCCTGGCAATCTGCTCCCAAAAGGTCACAGCCATGAAAACCCTGTGCAGTGCAGTTCTACTCTACACACTTGGAGTTTCCATGAGTTGTAATCGACTTGACAGCAATTGGTTTTGGTGGTTTTATGTGCAAAATACTTTCCCAGGCTCTAGGAAGAGGAGAGGATATTTACAAAGATGAGTCAGATACAGCCCTGAGACTGGCGGGGCCTCCAGCAATTGTGGTAGCCTTGCTCGCTCTGTGAATAAGACCAGAGTCAGAGGTTCAAGCTCCACCGAGGCCAGACAGCCAGCTGTAAACCCAGTCAAGGACTGGCCCCTTATCCAGGCCACAAATATGTGCCTGCCATCTCATTCACAAGACACATCTTCAGTATGTTGGTGGTTTCGCCTATAGGGACCATAGGTGGCAAATTCAGCCAGCTCCCCTACTTCTCAGACTTGGCAGAAGACTGCCTGGGAGTCGAGAAGGAAAGTGGGGGCTGTTGAACAATCTTTCATTTAGGTCATGTAGCCAGTGAGAAGAATACCTGTCAGTGAGGAAGTCTTCGAATTCAAAAGGACTAGAGGCCTTCCGTATCTTTTTTTGTTGAGTGTATTCATCTTAAAGAACTCTATTCATTGGATGTTGGGGTTATGTTCTGGTTTCCTAACTAAAAACTATTAAAGTGTCAAGGCTTCCTACTTCAACATCTTACTTCATCTGGAGACATTAACAACCCCTCTTGTTAACTCTGGATAAAGTCAGTATTAATGGGGCTTTCACGCTGATCACTACAGAGGTTTCTCTCTCCATGGTGTTAAAGGCTGCAGTAATAAGAGAACAAAGGACTAGATCAGCGTTTACCCCAGGAGCACACATGATTTGTGATAGGACTGTTGTTAACTGCTGCGTTGGCCCTGACTCATGGCCACCCCATGCACAATGCAATGAAATGCTGCCGGGTCCTGCACCATCCCTATGGTTAGCTGTGGATTGGACCATTGTGGTCCATACAGTTTTCACTGGCTGATTTTCTGAGGCAGATCACCAGGCCTTTCTTGCTAGTTCACCTTAGTCTGGAAGCACCACTGAAACCTGTTCAGCATCACAGCAACCAACATACCAGCCTCCACTTGGCAGTGTGATAGGATTAAAAAAAAAAAACCATTGATTCTGACTCATAGTGACCCTACAGGACAGAGCAGAACTGCCTGATAGGGTTTCCAAGGAGTGGCTAGTGGATTAGAACAGCTGACCTCTCGGTTAGCAGCCTGAGCTCTTAACCACTGTGCCACCAGGGCTGTTCGGTATTGTATTTCTTCATTTAAAGAAGCATCCTAGATTTTGGGGGGAGGTCAAGATTACATGTGTTACCCTCTGTTAAAAAAACATTTAACAGAGGAGTCTACGTTCACATAGCTGTGCAAATGCACATATGGATAACCACAAATCTTGCCACCCCCAACAAGAGAATAAAGACAAAAGAAAGCAGTAAGGTACTTCTGTGGCAAGGACACCTGGAGAAATGGAAATGCAGTTCGCAGCAGCTTTATCAGAAAGCCCAGCTCTCACTTGTAAGTATCCATCCTCTGATCCAACGTAGTCCCCACCTCTGCAGCAGCTCAGAGAGGGCTAAGTGGGCAGGAAATACATAAGACAGGCCACCTCCACCCAAGGTGCCTGGTCTTTTTCTTGAAAACACTCAAAACTGAAGCAGAACTTATTTTTTCTCTCTCCCTTCCTTTCCCAGCTCTCTGATATTACCTACATAAAAAGCCAAACTCTACAAGGTGTCCTGGGCATCTTCCATTCACTGCCCCAGGTCCACTCTCCACCCTGCTCCACGCTGCTCTTTTTCCTGAACTTAATGCACTGCAGCAATGGACTGTCTCACCCTTGGCATCCCGTCAGGTTTGGCCAATAGGAGGCACTGGCAGGAAATCAGAGGGTGGGAGAAGAGTGAGCTCAGGGTATTTATTCTGTTGGTTCCCTCCTGAAGACAGGGGTACTGTCCTGACACCTGAGAGTGAGAGATGTTCAGAGTGTACATCTACTAGTGCTCACCAATATCTGTGTTCTCCTCTGTGTCCTCTTGGGCACACAGCTAAATGACGTTACCCAGCCTCCTTGCATTAGGTGGGACTATATGACCAGTTCTTGCCAGTGGAAGTGATCTATGTGGTTAGGGGCAGGTATATATTCTCTATGCCCTCTCTCTTCCCTCATCTGCTGACCAGACGCAGGGGAGTCCAGAGGAGGATTCTGGGGCCCTTCAGGGTGGCTACACCTCTAGACAGAAAGAGCCTGGGTCCCTGAATGACAGCAGAGCAGATCCCACCTGCTGACCCACACTGGACTGTGGCATAAGCAAGAAACAAGCCTTTATTTTGCCAAGTCTCTGAGATTTGGAAGTTGGCATTATAATAGCAGGTAGCCTACCCAGACTATTACTATTATACTACTCAGATTATAGTCTACCAAGGCTGGCTAAAATCTTCTGTGTTTGTATCTTTTTTTGAATATAATGATTTTTCTTCAAACAACGAAACTCCTAATTACACCTAGTATTTCAGATAAGAACAACCCCTATGCCTATACCATTACTGGATATAAAGGTTACTTGAAAGAGTTCAAGGCAATTAATTTTATAAACAAAAACAGTAGTAAGAGCCGCTGACTAGGCACTTGAAAACTACTCACTCGCCGCGTGACTGTTGGATCTCGCTGTGCCTTCGAGATGAGGTGCCCAAGAAGGGTGTTGGTTCGGAGAAAACGCAAGCGGATGTTTGTTGCCTTGGTAAATTCCCTCAGGGTGTGAGAGAAAGTAAAATTTTTTGCACCTGGCCGGCCATTTATCAAGGACACCACAACCTAAAATAACCACATACGCAAAAAGAAAAAAAAATTCCTTTCATCAAAATTCTGCAGCAAGTACCTAAAAATAACTCACACGTCCCAAAGCACTTGGTTTCTTTGAGTCACTAGGTGTTTGTAGGTGGTCTAGTCTTGGATCTTATTTAGGTCTAAAAACATTGCCCGTTTTATCTTCCCTTTCCTTCCTAGTTCCAAGGTCTGGCAACATGTCCATGAAACCTGGGCTCCCCAGAGGTGTTATCATTTCATTTTCAAATGCTTTGTTCTATCAGTGTAGTTGGGGGGCTGTACAGCTATGAAATATTGAGACTATAATGTTAAAATCCATAAACATAAAGAAACTAACTTGTCAAACTACATCAAAGAAATAAAGCTGAAGTAATTTAAATGAGGTTGAAAAAAAGAAAGTCTCTGAATATAAAGTTGACAGGGCTAGAGACACAACAATCTATATACAAGCAGGTTTTGTTTTCAAGCCTGAGAGAGTTGCAACCATACGAAACATGAACCACTCACCATCTGTTGTAAGATACTGGGTAGACCTGCTCAAGAAACAGCTCTCCACTTAAAGAAAGGGACACTGATGCCCTTTAAGGAAGTTTAAGTTCATTTTGGCCTCACAATTTCTTTGGAATTCTTAACCTGATTTTCCCCACCTCTGTTTTCCCATCTTCCCCAACAACAGCCTGGCTGAAGTCCCAAGGGCCAAATGCAACCCCAATTTTTTTCTCCCCAGAAATATTTTCTTCCCCACAGATGGCACCTATCCTGCCAAAAGGGATCCGAGATTAGTGGGGCCACCTGCCCCTCATCTCCTCACTGTTACAGGGCATAATGTTTGTGAACAGGTGGGAGGGGAATTCTCCTGGGGAGAATTCAAGACCCTAAACAGAATTCCCAACCCAACCCAACTCATTCTGGGAGCCCTTGATTTGATTCATTTATCACTCAGTCCTAAGCACTGGTCTCCAGCTTGCTCCGTGTTACACCTCCATGTTCACTTCTGAATCTTATCTCTCACGAGCTCCCAAATCTACTCACCTCACCATTTTCCAAAGGAACAATACGGGAATACTCAGTAATGCAAAGTACATCATCATCACGAGTGATAGCCCTATTTGCCTCCTGCCCAAATTGTTCCAAACAGTCTAGTTTAGAATCTAGGAAGAAAGTATTTTAATATTATAAAATAAAGTATTATCACCTTGTTGTCAGTCTCTTAAGATGCCTTATGTTTCTTTAAGAAAATTAATGAAAAAAAAAAAAACAGAGAAACATTTAAGACTTATAGACAAAAGCTTAGGGTGAAGTTATTCATTCCTGAAAGAAATAACTTTCAGCTGCAATATTTGGAGATGAGGTCCTAAATCTTCACACCCCATCAGGCAAGTTTACCCTCTGAGGCACTCTCATGGAAAATTCAACCACTTAGTAAGCAAAATTCCTGTCCCCCTCAATCTATCATAGGGTTCAGAGACAATGATATTCTTCATTAATAAGGATAACAGGGTCAAGGTAAGTAAAGCACAATGTAGACCCGTGAAGACCGAACTCAGTTTCTACGTTTACATACAAACTAAAGGACTGGAGCTATGGCCCACTTATAGGCATGTTGCTTCCCTCCAAATAATGCAAGAACTGTTACCATAAAGGCATTTCAACCTCAGTTCTACATGTGGTATCCTTGGAATAAACGTACACATGCTTAAGAAATGGGGATATTCTCAGGGTAACTTAGAGGGTTAAAAGTGACTAGTCCCTAGCTAGCAACACTGAGAGACTAATTTTCTAAATAGACCCATAGTCTTGATCTGCTGGAAATAATTAAAGCTCCTCGTAACATGGTAGACAAGGTTACTTACGAGCAAAATATTGCCAAGGTAAATAGGTGCTTCCAAAGTCCACAGATCTTTCCAAGACCCAAAGGTCAGGGCGAGGAGAATTTGCAAATTTGATTATAATATAGGCCACGTGAAAGAGCTGATAAAGCAAAAGGGGTACAGTTATTAAAGTCACCTCATCTGTCCACAGCCTGGATCACCTCTATGTGCTGCTGGTTCCCAAAGCAACACATCTAGCTACAACCCCTCTCCCAGAAGCCAGATCCTTCATTCCAACTGCCTACTGGACATCACTACCTGGGTGCAGCCTCTCCAGTTCACTGCATTCAAAACCAAAATAATTTTTCTTTCTCCACCAGATCTACCTTAATCACCATCTTCACACCTTAGCCAGTGTACCCTGGAATTTCAACTGCCTACATAGCAGTAGTCTGTACACTGAGAGAATTCCAAGGTCAAGCAATAGTAATCATGTGCTTTCAGGACAAGAGCCAATAGTACAGGAGTGCCATGACCCCTGGTTCCAGGCATTGGCGAGATCACAGCTGCAGAACTGAGACCTGAGTAGCTCTTTGGTGGAGTTGTAGCATCTCCTTTCCCTGCACTATCTCCACTGAGCTCTTTTCCTGGTTACTCTTCCTCTTATTAATTTTCTTTCCCTTATCACTCTTTTGTCCATGGCCCCAAACCCAGAAAACCTGTTGCCATCAAGTCAATTCTGACTCATGGTGACCCCATGTGTTGTCAGAGTAGAACTGTGCTCCATAGGGTTTTCAGTGGCTGATTCTTTGGAAATAGATAGCCAGGACTTTCTTTCGAGGTACCTCTGGGTGGACTTGAACCTTCAACCTTTTGGTTAGCAGCTACGTATGTTAACCGTTTGCACCACCCAAGGACCAGGTCCACGAAAAAGCATGAAAGAGATGCAGTGGAGCTTTGGCACTGCTTTCTTCATCCTCCCACTCTTGAACCCCAAGGTGCTTTCCATGATGGACCGCCATGATTCCTTGCAGCCTATTCTATCCCCTTCCTTCAAAACTTACCTGGCTTAAATTCTGAACCCTGAGGTCTATATATTTCCCAAAGAGCCCAGTATGACAATGAACACAACCACTGAACAATCTGTGGTAACGTGTTAATGACAGAGGATGATCCCCACTCCACACCCTCTAACCTCCAGTAACAGATTTAATAGTGACTTTCCGAAGATGAAGAAGCCCTAGTGGCACAGTGGTTAAAGTGCTTGGCTGCTAACCAAAAGGTCGGCGTTTGAACCCACTAGCCACTCCGCAGAAGAAAGATGTGGTAGTCTGTTTCTGGAGAGATTTACAGCCTTAGATGCCCTGTGAGGCAGTTCTACTCTTTCCTATAGGGTTGCTATGAGTCGGAATCAACTCAATGGCAATGAGATGTTTTTTTTTTTTAATTAACTCATTTAAAATAATAATAAACCCATTAATGTTACCAAAAATAACATATTTTTATGAAAAATTACTTATATCAAAAAGCAAAAAACTTGGTGAGAATAGTGGCAACGCTTTAGATTTTTTTGCAAATCTCTTCAAATGTCTGGCTTAGTAAAAGACAGCTGAAGTCCCATATCTGCATCTGCACTAATCTACTGCGACATGCTGTTTTGGTTGGAGCATTTAAGGAAAATCTGGCCTCCCACAGATATGTGGTAGGGGGAAAAAGAGGGCATCCTGAGAAGCCTCAGGAGCCCTCATGGGTTCTCAGACCATACTTTGAGAACCACTGCTCTGGGTCATAGTGATTTGCTCTTTGTACTAAGACACCCTCTAGCTTATTTCAAAAGGAAGAATTTTCACACCAATTATTGAAAACCCAAGTTCAGCAAGTTCTGTCCCAGTCAAACATTTGCTCTTTGATCTTGAAAATATTGCTCACCTGGGTTCAGGTGAACACTCCCAGACTGTCTACCAACACCTGGAAAAACTGATCTAACCTCACGGAGAAAAACTAATTCTGAAACCACAAAGCAATACATAAAGATAGGAGTAATAATTTCCAAAGACATATATTGTTGTTACATAGTGAAATAATTCATAGGAAATTCAAGAACTCCCAGTTTGGAAAATTGGAACAAATACATTTCTCTTAAAACTGTTCGCATCTCTCTCTCTTGTCACATTGAAATAAGACCACTCTTAGAACCGTGGATAGGACACAGTATAACTGAAAACATTTTTGGATATGGGCATAATTCAAAACATTCTTAATCTTTTCCATCAAACCTTATAATCATAGCACACTCACCCACCCACCCCCCAAAAAACTATTTTCACAGTAGTTTATGATTTAATAATTATTGTGTTCCAGGCAACGTAAGTGCTTTGCCAACACTCTCTCATTTAGGCCTCACAATAAAAGGTGGCATTTTATTAACTCCACTTTAGAACTCAGGAAAGTGTGGTTTCGAGCAGTTAAAGAATAAGCCCACAGCATACAGGTGTCAAAACCCCACGAGTATCCCACTCACTGAGCATTAGTGCGTTAGCTATGTCACAGGACCTAACAGGGACTCATATTTGACCTGTTTCATCCTGGGGGAAATAGTTAGAGAAGTTCAAACATTGTTATTTACAAATATGCTAAAATTCCATCACAGGGAGCCTGGGGGCAAGGGGCTACGTTATAATACATATGGACGGCTAACTGTGTTGGTTTTCCCAAGTTGTACTTCCTGCCACTAAAAATCCAAATAAATTAAACAGCCTCGATGGGCTCAGAATGGAGCCTCTGTATTTAGCCTCATCCTCTTCCAAGATAATGTGTGATCCCTTGAAGCAGCATGGAGGTTAGACATCACAACTTTAGAAGCAGGTGGAGGGAGACATGCTGTGGAATGCCTCCGCATGTGTTCAATGAGTCTGCCACCCGGCCTAATTTAACAACCCTACTGACCCCACCACTCATCTCTCAGCACCTATCAGATAGGACATTCCACTTTAAAATCTTTCCCTCCCATTTTTGTCTTAGGAACTCGTTTCTGAGGTTCTCCATCAGACATTCATGTGCCCTGAATACTGGTAGGGCTGCATTTCAATTTTTCCAATTCCATTTGCACTGCAAGCTATATGTTTTATTGATGGCCACCATGGCTGTGTAGCTTGCAGCGGATTCTTGCCAACTGCTCTGCTAAGCAGTAAATCTCCTCTGAGACTTGCAGACTCAAAACCTCCCTGTGAGGCAGAGAAAGTGGTATCCAAAGTGGGTTTAGAGCCTGGCTCACGCCTGCTAAACCAACAGGTCTGAAGTTATTCTCTTCTGTTTGATAATTCCAAACTATTATTCGGCACATCGACTCTACAGTGACCCCACGTGACAGAGCAGAATTGCCCCATGGGGTTTTCTTGGCTGCAATCTTTACAGATTGCAGATCACCAAGTCTTTCTCCTGTGAAGCTGCTGGGTGGGTTCGAACCCCCACCGTTCCTGCAGCAGTCAACTGCTTAACCATTATGCTACCAGGGCCCCTCATTCCAAACTATAGGCCTTTAAAATGGTTCTTTGTGTTAAACTCCTTATTATCAGTTACTTTTGCTTACTCTCTGACCACTCAAAATACTTCAAAGCAAGTAACAAGGGTTCTTTATGGAACTAGAAAGTGGCAGTTGTGGAGTCACTATAAGTAGACTAGCAAAGGCTAGGTTGTGCACTGTCAAAGAAAGAATATTTAGGGCTCAAAAAGCGACTGAGAAAGGTTGAACTGTAATCTTCTCTCCACATATTTTTCTAACAATATGAACCAAAGATGGCTTGAATGTTGTTGATGATCTGTTAAGCAGAGACACAAAGTAGTCTTCTAAATATTTTTTTTAACGTGGTAAAATATATATAACATAAATGAAAAGAAAATCTACAAACAAAAGATGTAGAGGAATCAACTCCCTGGGGACCGAATCCTTTCCCTGCCACCCATTATTTGTAACGACATCACTTAACCTCTCTGAGATTTTACTCTCTTGCCCATAAATAATAAAATGATCACAAAAGATATTTGGGGAACAATAATAATCTGTTTCATACATACAATATATTCTCCTTCCAAAAGAGCACTGTCATGCTTTGTGGCACGTATTTGTTTTCATCCATCATTCCCACCAAACTGTGGCCTCTAAGTGCTTTATTCACTTCTATTTCCTCAGGAGAGATGTTTCATAAACGTTGTTGAATTGAAATGAATAAATCAGGGCATGTGAAAATGCAAAATAATATGCAAATGTATTTAAAATCACACCCAAAATAAGATTCTCGTTCAAGTAAATAGTATACACTCCAAAAAAAGTCTAAGTTTATAATGAAAGAGTTTATAATGAAAGTCATGCTGTTAATAATTTTATAATTAGATAAACATACTATTTCACAAAGTAGCATTTTCTAATTTATTTTGCCACCTTTTTATTTTGAATAATTTCCAAACCTATAGTAAAGCTCAAAGAACAGTACAATGAATACTCACACACTTTTCACCTAGACTCAACAGTTTGTCACATTTGCTTTCTTTCTCTCTCCACACATACACACACACACACACACCCCTTTTTTTGAATCTTTGAAAGTAAGTTACAGACATCATGACACTTCACCCCTAAATACTTCACCATGTTATCTCCTACAGAAACTCAAGATTTTCATACCCAAGAAATTTTACCATTTATACAAAAAAATCTTATCTAAAACACTGTCCATATTCAATTTTTTTTTCCCAGTCCAAGACCCTATCCAGGGTTGTTGTTGTTGTTTGCTGACATGGAGTCAATTCCAACTCAAGGCAATCCCACGTGTTACAGAGTTGAATCTGCTCCATAGGGTTTTCTTTGGCTGTAATCTTTGCAGAAGCATATCGCCAGGCCTTTTCTTCCACAGTACTGCTGGGTGGGTGTGAACCTCCAACCTTTAGGTTAGCAGTCAAGCACAAACTGTTTTCGACACCCAGGGACCTAATTAAGATTGCGCATGGCACTTAGTTGTCAAGTCTTTTTCATCTCCTTTAATCAAGAAGAGTCCCTCCCCATTTTTCTGTCATTCCTGATATTGACATGTTGAGGAGTCCAGGTCCTCTATATCACAGGATGTTCCGAAGTCTGAATCTGTCAGATTATTTTCTCATGATCTG